CGCTGCCCGCTGAGGCCGCCCTGGCGCCCAGCGCGCCCCGAGTGTTCAGGCTGAGGTGGGGGCGCAAGGGCAGCTGGAGGGCCGGACAAGTCCCCAGCGCTCCCTGGGAGAGGGGTGCCCTCCCACTGCCCCCCGTGGTGGCCGTTATGAGGTGGGGGTTGCGAAAGACCACGTGAGGAGCAGGGCGCCCCGTGGGAGCAGCTGAGGATGGAACGCCGAAAGCTGGCACAGGACGCCGGCCCTCCGCCCTGACCGCCGCCCCCGGGGCCCCCTCGCTCCCGCGCCCCCGGCTCCAGCAGAGGCACCTGCTGCTTGCAGAGACCACTGGCCACGGGCGTCCTGCCCACGCTCGCCGGCACCCAGCCGTCCCGCCGGCCGCGTGAGCCTTGTGGGCATCGTTCCTGCCCTGGCTGGGGGTCCCCGGCTCACGGACTTGTAGGCCGGCATCGGGAGGGGCCAGGGAAGGTCACAGGGGGCGGGGGCAGGGAGAGCCCACGCCGCCCACGGAAGCAAACACGCAGAGCCCCACGCGCACAGCCGTCCCGGCGGGGACAGCGCGGGCCGGGACGGGCCGGTGGCAACCAGACCGGCCCACCTGCCTCCTGCTCCCCGGACGGCCGGCCAGCACCCAGCCCGCCAGCCTCGGGGCCCTCTGCGTCACCCCGCGACGAGCCCCGCTCGGCCTCCCTCGCGTCACCCGGGGGCACGTTCCTGGAGGAGCCCCCGCTAGGAGCCGTGTCTGGCTCAGGCTGGGGACGAGCATGCAGTGGGTACTGATGGAGAACTTGCACCTGACTTTGCCGAAGCCCGCCCAGCCCACCTCCGGGACACGTGGACTGCCCAAAGAGCGGCGTGAGCTGACCCGAGGACAAAAGGTCCACCTCAGTCAACGCAACTGCAAGGACGCGTGGCTGTGCGCGTGGCTGTGCGCGTGGCTGTGCGCGTGGCTGTGCGCGTGGCTGTGCATGTGGCCCCCCTTCCTGCACCCCAGCCTGCGACCGTGACAAATGACCGGGCCCAGGCTCAGCGGAGCCTGCCGGACACCCCCAATCTGTCCAGACCAACTCCAACCTGCCCTGGCCACCGGCGGGCTGGGGGAGGCGTGGCCACGCCGTCCTCCACGCCGCCGACCTTGCGGGAAGGGAGCGCCCTGACTTCCAGTTCTCCATCCTCTCCGCTCAGAAGCGAGAAGGGACTCTGCTGCACGCTCACCTAGGGGGTGCGGTCGGGGCGGGAGGGCTCGGAGGGAGCCCAGCGGCTCGCCAGAAGCAGGCGCGAGGCTCAGCGTGGCCCCGTGCCGGACCAGGCGCTTGCGCTGTGTGAAATCCCCGTGCGGCCGTGGTCTGTCCCACTTTATTCAATTACTGGCGTTGGGCG